AGCATCGGCCAAGAGTGGTCGTGGTCGCAGCGGCAGTGCCGTTAGACCAAACCAGCGAGGTTGTGTCTGCCAGTGAAGGGGACAGATTCGCAGCCACCCGGGAAGGTGGCCGCCCCGGCAGAGGCCGAGGACGCGGTCACCGCTTGCACACACCGTTTCTAGCCCCGAGCCCGGTGCAGCAGCTCAGACAGGCCCATGAGCCCCGTATGGCATCTCCGAGCCCGCATACAAGGCGCTTGAGAGATTCCACTATTGCCTTTGGTGCAACAACGATCTTCATCAGACGCAGGGTTGCCCATTGAAAGGCAAGGGCATACAGGGAAACTGAGCACCGCCGAGAGTGACGCGACGACACTCTCGACGCCTTCGGAACTGGTTTCTTCGCGAGTAACCAGCCTTCATTCTGAGGCGCACGCGGAAGTCGACAGTCCTCCGCTTCTACTTTCTTTTGAGGACTATGCTGCCCGACTCGTTCCAACGCTGGGTACTCAAGCTCTTCTCCGTCCGGCAACAGCGACATATCGTCTTGAAGTGGTTCGTCACGGGATTCGGCGTGCGAGTTCAATATAGAGGCATTGGACCCGCTCACGTCTGAGGACTTTGCATGGCTTCCTCTCCCGACCACAGGCTGTTTGCCGGGACCGCAATGCGCAGCACTCAGCGCTAATCTTCACACTTACTTATCCTTCTATGCACCACCAACTTCGCCGACGGATGACGAAGTCGCGGTGGGGGACATCCTGGCGTATACTACCAAGGTGGCCCACGAGTTTCGCACGCAGCGGTACGATGACAACAACACACCGCTCATGTATGTCCGCATTCAGGTTGGGCAAGCGTCCTGCAGCGCTTTGCTGGATAGCGGCGCTTCTCGCAACTTCATGAGCCAGTCTTTTATGCAAAGAGCTGGCCTTGGCGCACAAGTTCGGAGAAAGGCAAACCCGACGGCGGTCAAGTTGGCGGATGGAAAGACGCAACAACTTCTCGACCGTTACATCGAGGCCGTACCGGTCTACTTCGCACCTCATGCAAGCAAACCGGTGACATTCGATATTCTCGACACGGACTTCGACATCATTCTGGGAATGCCTTGGCTTGCAAGTGCGGATCACACGGTCAACTTCCATCGGCGGACTCTTAGCGTTCGCGACGCCTTCGACGCGGAAGTGGCGTGTACTATTCCTCTACCGCACTCTTCGATCCGGTGCCAAGTGGTGACGGCCAAATCATTCTGGGCGACTTGCGCTTACGAGCAGCCCCAGGAGATCGGCCTATGCTTCCTACGGACCGTCGCGGTAGCCGACTCTTCACCCACGGACTTGTCTTCGGACCCCCGTGTGGTACGGTTGCTGGATGAGTTCGCCGACATCTTCGAGTCACCTACCGGTGTGGTGCCGGGTCGGCCGATCTCTCACGAGATCATTCTTGAGGCCGGTGTCGTGCCGCCGAAAGGTTGCATCTATCGGATGAGCGAGGTGCTTGAGGTCCTCCGCGCACAACTCGATGATTTGTTGGCCAAGGGCTGGATCCGCCCGAGTAGCTCCCCATATGGAGCACCAGTTCTCTTTGTCAGGAAGAAGAAGAAGGATCTACGATTGTGTATCGACTACCGCAAGCTCAACGCGCAAACCGTCAAGAATGCGGGGCCTCTTCCTCGCATCGACGATCTTCTTGAGGGACTGGGCGGCGCGAAGTATTTTTCCAAGTTGGATTTGAAATCAGGATATCATCAAATCTCGATCCAGCCGAACGATCGCTACAAGACCGCGTTCAAGACGCGGTACGGGCATTTTGAGTGGGTGGTCATGCCTTTTGGCCTCACCAACGCCCCGACGACCTTTCAGGCGGCCATGACCAATGAGTTTCGTGCAATGTTGGACCGGTTTGTGCTGGTCTACTTAGACGATATTCTCGTCTATAGCCGGTCATTGGAGGATCATCTTGGGCATCTTCGACAAGTGTTGGAGACGCTCCGCCTTGCCAAGTACAAGGCCAACCACGACAAGTGTGAATTTGTCCGGCAAGAGCTGGAATACTTGGGCCATTTTGTCACACCGGAGGGCATCGGTCCGCTATCGGACAAGATTCAGGCCGTCCAAGAGTGGTCGGAGCCTCGGAACGTCACGGATGTCCGCTCGTTCCTCGGTCTTACYGGCTACTATCAGCGCTTCATCAAAGGTTACTCCAAGATTGCGGCCCACTTGAACAAGCTTCAGTGCGAGGATTGGCCGTTTGACTTTGGAGAGGAGGCGCGAGGATCATTCTTCGCTCTCAAAGCCGCGCTATTGTCTGAAGAGGTCTTGGGGATATACGACCCGCTCGCGCCTACACGTGTCACTACGGATGCGTCAGGCTATGGCATTGGTGCAGTCCTCGAGCAACATGATGGTGTGGACTGGCACCCGGTCGAGTACTTCAGCAAGAAAGTGTCCCTCGTGCATTCCATTGACGATGCAAGCAAGAAGGAGCTCCTCGCCTTCGTCCACGCGCTCAAGCGGTGGCGGCACTTCCTCCTTGGTCGAAGCCAATTTCGATGGGTAACGTACAACAATCCGTTGGTTTTCTACAAGACCCAAGACACCGTCAACAGCACCATCGCTTGATGGATGGCTTTCATCGACCAGTTCGACTTCTTTCCCGATCACATTCCTGGGAAGTCGAACCGTTTTGCGGATGCTCTTTCACGGCGTCCGGATCATTGTACCGCAGTCTACTCGGCCTTCGAGATCGACGACGACCTGCGGAACAGCTTCATCCGCGGCTACCAAGCCGACCCCGAGTTTCGCGATAAGTATGCGAATTGCTCCTCTCCTAATCCGGCTCCTTCTCACTACCGGATCCAAGAGGGGTACTTGCTTGTCCAGACGCGGGGGAAGGACCTTCTTTGCGTACCGAGTGATCCTCACTTGCGTACACGGCTTCTTGGTGAGTTCCACGACGCT